CATACACGTCCACTCCGATGTTGAATAGCCTGCTTTAATGGATGGTGGTAGGGATGCACGGGCAAACGTCAAGAGATAGGTGTTGGTTTTCACAATGGTACCCTCTCTCTTAACGGTGAAACGTTTTAAAGCAGTTACACCCTGATCGTGAAGCTTTGTAGCAATATCCTCTTCCGTCATGTCGGATAGATAGCGAGCTCCATCTCGGATTATACCTCGACAGGACGTTAATGTTCTGTGCACGAACACGGCAACCTCTATATTGGCAAATGTTTTGATAGACCGAAGATTTCGAGAATGATGTCTCCGCGCACAGTCCCCCAGAAGTGAACCACTACGAAGACGGGTGACAATTCGAACTTTCCCACAAATACCTGAAACAGCCTCTGAAATGGCAAAAGGATTTAATTTAATTGGAAGATAATTATATAATTTAATTATTTCGATTAAAAGTGCATGTTTGCAAGAAAGATTGTAATAGCCTGTAGGCATGAAGGAAAGTCTGAAAATATTATATATTGTTTAGATTTAGGATGTTTATTAATATATTTAAACGCTGTTAATATGGCATTGGCTTCTGTTGTAAATATAGAACTGTCATCTGGTAATCTAGAAGATATTGTTCTGGATCCAATGACAGTGGCACTAGCAACAGCGCCACCAAAGATTTGTATTATATTTACTTTTTAATTAAATATATTCTTGTTTATATATTAATTCATTCGTTTCTGATTTTTTTAAAAGTGGTTAATGTTAGGTCGACTTGTGGTCTTAGACAAAAAAGGGGGACAAAAAAGAAGACGAGAAAGAGATGTATTGCCTAGCTCTATGCCGGCATCAGAAATGAAGCCCAAGAGGCGGAACAAGATAGGAACTATTCGAAGGGTGCCTATAATTTTGAGGCATTGATGTTATATATATTTTTTTGTCTGGGAAATGTCCGATTTACACGCTCTTTTGATTACTTATATATGATAATGTTCTGACCAACTCTATTCTTTTTCCTAAACATCACTCTGTAGTTAAGAAATGTATCTTCTGCAATCACCACGACTCTGCTTCGCACCTATTTTATAATTGTTCTATGGTTTTTTGTTATGTAAAATGTGTTTTTGATCTCTCCTTTGGTTTAGTTGCAATTTTACTGATTGAAATTTATTGATTTTTATGGAAAAAAGAATGTTATTATGTACCTAGTGTGAGCAAACCTCCCATTTACGGCTGCTAAGTGTCATGTTACAAATGGTAGGTTGGTTGTGTTTGTTTGATGCTTAACGCCACACTCAGCAATACTCCAGCAATATGGCGGCGGTATGTACATAATCGAGTCTGAGCGAGTCAACCAAGTCAGCGAGCCTGACCATCCGATCCCGTTAGTCGCCTATTACGACAAGCATACGTTGCTAAATATCAATTCTAACTCGCATCTAAACAAACAAAAACAAAATTCACTACTTTATACATGTCGGGAGTACACAGGTGCAGGAATCTACCAGTGTTTCCGTCTGTTCAGTTGCTCATTAGTTCGTCAGCTCTCACCGCCTCTCTGTGTGCCTTGGTGTGTGTATATAACACCCCCATCCTTTATCTGTATCGTTATGTTTGACATTTTAACACAAAACGCACCTCGACTGTTATCTTTAATTTGTCCGTTGACTTCTGTGATGTCATTTGCTCACATAACATCTCGTATAAGTGGACGCATGCTTTATGCAAATGTTAAAGATTTACTTTACAAGGAATGTTATTTTAATGTCACAATGTTTTTAAGTTTTTTGTTTTTCTTTGCAATTTCTTTGAACTTAACGAGGACAGAGACTCTGATCACTGTTACCCAGAATGCACTCACAGATTCCAGGTGCAACTTTTGGGAAGTGACGTTTTCCTCGGCTATGACACGGCGACTGGTCTTAAGTGCAGGGATTAGGTCAATGCTATTTAAGACGCTTTTCCGGACATTTACAGTGCTTCCCTAGGAACTATATCAGGGGTTAATAATACATCTAAGTTTATTCCCAGTCGTCTGCCATCAATGCCATACTATAAAAGTACATATTCTGGTACTTTCCCATCCGGAATTCGAACCCACACCCTCAGAGCCAGGCACATAATTGAATCCCGGATGGGACTCAACCCAACAAAAGTACTAAACACGTCACAAATTAATTCTGGAAACCCCAGTCCAGAAACTATCTGCATTGTGGCCACTCTGTGACAAGGGATTTGAAAAAAATATGCAGTTGTCATGATTATATGCTAAGGATGAAAAAATTAAAACGTATTTTTTCGAAAACTCAGAATTTAACTACCTCGCCCATGGGCGAGAATGTTTAGTTTCGCTCATTTGGACTTAATTAATTTAGAGCGATATTAAAATCTGTTGCCCTTGGGCGAAAAGAAATTTTACCTATGGGCGCGAATTTCTACTTTTGCTAACAATTCATGTTTTTTCAGTTCTTGGAGATTGTAAATGAATGAAAGTATGTTTACATAGTATCATGAAACAAAATTTATATCATTTTGACTTAATTCGGCTAATTTAGAGCGTTATCGAAAAATCTCAAAGTATAGTGAAACAACTAGAGTATCACAGTTTGAAAACTAGCATTTAATGTTAAAATAATAGCACTATTCGGACAATACACCATATAAAAACAGTCTATAGACCGCCAGCAAATTACGTACAGTACTTTTGCTACCTGCATGGACCCTTGGTGGATTTACATCGCCCCTCAGACGTTGGCGATTGTGCTAAAATTTAGCTATCACTTAAAAACATATATCCTAATACTCGGTATAGATCTAAATTTGCTTCGATCTTCTTTTACTTACGTACCCCCTAAGATGGAAAATAGATTTACTCTGCTTCAACCCCCTTTGAAGGTGAAAACGATTTATCAATGAAACAAGTGCCACGAACATATGCAGATATATTTGAGATCAGTTCATGTCTGACGGCACTTGGCAAGTTCAAAGTTGAAATGCAACATGAACATACACAAAATATTTGGGGTTTCACACAATAGTTAAATTGCAAAGCATATCGTGCCAAACAAGATTTTCAAGAGCACATATATATCAAAGTCAATGTCTCTTCTCAAGATTTTTACAGACTAATGTGTGCATGACTTGAAAAAAACCCGGAACTGTTGCAGACCACCCGGGGCCAGGAGCGTCATGTGTGACGTCACCCAGGGAAGATCAAGCAATACGATTACGTCATCTTCGGAACAGATTTGTTACTGCAACTTCCGCAAGTAGGGAGATGTTTGGTGGAGGGATAACTGCACAAACTGTAAGAAATCGCTTGCGTGCCGCTGGACTTCGCGCCCGAACACCCCACAATGGACCAATATTAACGCCTCTTCATCGAAAACCGACTGGTTTGGGCCACAAGACACATAAGGTTCAGTCAAAAAGAGTTCGTTTGTCTTCAGCGACGAATCTCGATTCACATTGAGATTTGCCGACGACAGGGCCCGAGTGTACCGCAGGCGAGGTGAACGTCACGCTCAAGGCAGCGTCCGTGAAGTGCACAGATTTGGTGGCGAAAGCGTAATGGTATGGGGTTCGTTTAGTGCACTCGGGCGTTCTCCCCTTGTTGTCGTTCGAGGGAACTTAAATGCTGCCCAGTACAGGGATCAGATTTTGCAACCTGCCCGGCTTCCATTTATGCAGAGACATGGTCTGGACTGACGTTTCAAGAAGACAACGCATACTGGAATTCTTACACAGAATTGTCTACGAAATGCCGGTATTCAAGTTCTGGATTGGCCGTCGCGTAGCCCCTACTTAAATCCTATCGAACATATCTGGGACGAGCTGGGTCGACGTGTTCGTCAGCAAGTCAATCCACCACATTCGTTGCAAGATCTTCAACGTCACGTTGTTGAGCAATGGCGACGTCTTCCTGTGTTTACAGACGTTCTAAGATCCACGTGTGGATGTAAGAGACGCTGGAGGAGGCCATAACTCTTACTGAAGATTTCAATAGAATTTTTCTCCACGCTGTGAACTTCATGTTGGAGGGTAGCTTGACACCATGAACGTTATCATTGTTAAAGAGTTTCAGCGAGACTTGTTCTGTTTTGGGGGTTTTCACTTCGATGTCAAGATGTTCTGTGCACAGCATACAACTAAAATTATTGTCTGAAACCTAATATTATAAGTAAAATAAATCCCGAGTTTTAAGTTTTCAGTTTTGCTCTGTATGTAGTATGCGTTATTGACACGATATGGCTGAAATATTGCCGATGTGACAATCGTTTTAAGTCCCCATTCAATCACTCTTTATACCAGCTATGTTTCTTCATTTGGCTTTAACAATACCTGTATTCTTCAATATGTATATAGTAATCATGTCTCACAATGATGTAGGTTTGTGCGAAGTTTAGTAATACGTATCCAGGAAGTCGGAACTGTGTTGAGTATGACTGGATGCATGTCTTTGTGAGTGAGTAAGGTTTACGCCGCTTTTAGATATATTCCAGTAATATAACACCAGGAATGGGCTTCACACATTGTACCCATGTTGGGAATGGAACCTATGTCTTCAACGTAACGGGCGGACGCTTGAACCATTAAGCTACTCGACCGCCACCGTGGCTGTGAGCCAGCAGTGTTTTGAATACTATTTCTGATATGTCAGCTTGATAAAGGAGAAGACACGAAATGTTGCAAGTCAAAGACTTTGCGGGAACGCACAAACACGTTTCCGAAATGCACATCACCAAGTTTGTTAAAGGAGAAATAGGTAATAGTGGCAACAACCTCTGAACCGTCAACTCTCACTATCAGCTTTGTTTCTTTCTTAAAGGCAAATACATCTCCTAGTCACTCGACATATATGGATATGACGTAACCAACAGACACCTATATGTGTGCATACAGCGTACACACACCCAACAATCTGCCGCATCAGCAAATACGAATAATTATCTTCAAATAAGACAGACGGGGGTGGCACGTACGAGACAATGATGGCATTTGCGCCCGAATCAAACCTGACCTATGTCTTAACAGTCTGACTTTTTTTGTCATATTTCAGGGGTATATATGTAGTAGCTCCCACTGCTTCAACCATCCCTTTAGCTGCGTCTGTGTGAACGGTGCGTCTGAGTTAACGGTGTGTCATGAAAGGTTACACGATCAGTCTGCTCCTGTCTGGCACAGCTCTCCTGCTTGCTGCATCTGTTGCTGCCAGTTCCAAGTGCCTTGATTCACAAGTGGAAGGACTTTCAACAGATGATGATTTCCCAACGGTATTACACGCATGGTGTAAGTAAACCCTTGTCATAATTGTAATGTTTTGTGTACAAATGAATATTGTTATACATTGTGTGAGTTTAGTTTTACGCCGCACTCAGCAATATTCCAGCTACATGGCGGCCGTCTGTAAATAATCAAGTCTGGACCAGACAATCTAGTGATCAACAACATCAGCATCGATCTTCGCAATTGGGATATGATGACATGTGTCAACCAAGTCACATGTCATCCATGACTACTAGATCCCGTTAGTCGCCTCTTACAAGGAGCATGGGTTACTGAAGGTCAGCCCTAACCGGATCTTCACGGGTTTGTTATATAGGATGGTGGGGCATGGATGTTCACGTTATGTCTCCAGGTTTATGTCACCGTACCTGTCTCCAACGTGGCAAGCGTATGAGACCACATCTACATCATTGTCCCTCTGAGAGGGTATGGAACCCCACATCATTCAAAGAATTGTTATGCACACCGAAGCTGTTAATCGTAGTATATATGTCGATTTTAGATAAATGGCTAACCTTACACAAAGTCGAGGTCAACACACCAAGTTCGTTTCTGCTTGACCTGTTTTCATTTTAGTAGTTGGCACTTTTTAGTAACACCATTTCCTCGTCAGCCAATGAAATAGCAAGACATTTACAAGTATCTCATCTCTTTGCAGATGGCAAAATCTTAAAGTTCGATGGCTTCTGGGGAGAAGACCATGACAGTTGTGATGGAGAATACTATCTGAGGACGAAGCGCTCTATTGACTATGGCTACGCCTCTAAAATACTGTCATCAAGAGGCACCAACGGCGGGGGCTACCAGAGATTGCAGTTCCGTTATGATGTGCCAAAGCCAACCTACCGCAAATCATTCCAAGAAGGTAAATGGCAGCTGGTCAGCAAGCAGATGATAAAGAACTACTACAAGAAAGGCACTTACGAGATGGCCAAAAAGTTCTTCATCGCTCTGCCCTTCGTCAAGATCATTCCCGTGAAGACTACCACGTCTGTCGATTACGTGGTGCAGCTACAGACCTACGACAGCTACAGGGTGAGACTGTGTGAACACTGCTATGACGGTCACCCACAGATCGAGTTCCAGTCCCTGAGCAGACCTCATCGCAACGTCATCCGTCGTGTCAACTTCCTTCCCTACACCAAGAGGTCAAGGACGGAGTACGGTAAACCAAAGATCACCCAGATAGGTCAACGGCGTGTCGTGAGTCATGGAACCAGTTAAGGCATCCATGAGTTGGAGCGCACTAATTGAGGTCACTGCAATTCCCTTGCAGATATAGGTTTGACCTCTAGTCAATAGACCATGTTTGATGCGCAAATAAAAGTGTATTAGTCATTGACTGTCTATGTATTCCATTGCAGTGAACGCCAACGTACTGGTTCAGTTGGGTGTTGACGGGCGCAGATTAATGATGATAGTAGAATATTAAGCCTGATGTATGATTTCAGTGTAAGGGTATGCTGGTGACATAAAGGTAGCTTGCATGTAAGCGTGTAGTGGTTGATGGAACTAGAGCCTTAGAACTTGTCCGTCCTATAGTAAGGATCGGCGCTGCAGTAGGGATGTACCACGAGAATTCTTCTTAAATTTCACAGCTTTTCGTGGTCATATGTTTTCACTTGGCTTGATCCAAGTATCTTTAGTTTTTAGTTACTGCGATACGTTGTTGTATTTAGAGTGGTCTTTACCTCAAGTCTCTGCACGAGTGAGTTACGATTTTAGTTGTATCGGCAGAATGCCAGCCATGATGTGACAAAAGCAAGTTCATGATACAAGAAATTAGATTGTAGGAACCTGTCGACAACGGAGAGTAAACACAGCTAGACTATCATATATATAGATGTAAAATTAGGGATCAGGCAACTCTCAGGCGACTCTCTACACCACCAAGGCTTCAGGCTCTGTCTTGAAGCTTTTAGAAAATCTCCTGTAGACAGTCTGCATGTGGGGGCTGATGAACCTTCCCTTGAACGACGCCGCATTACATTTTCGCTACAATATATCTCTGAATTACGTGGGGCGGCGTGGTAGTCTAGTGGTTGAAGCGTTCGCTCGTCACGCCGATGACCCGAGTTCGATTTTTACATGGGCACAATGTGTGAAGCCCATTTCTGGTGTTGCCCGCCGTGATATTGCTGGAATATTGGTAAAAGCGGCGTGAAACTAAACTAAACTCACTCACTCTGAATTATGTTCAAACCGAGCATACAGTTGTGTTGTCAACCTTCTCTTTGAAGACCTGTTTCTTAATCTGCCAAGCCTTGCTCCACCAATTGGAATCACAATTCAACCACACATTTCCGCAATTAAAATTGATATCATATTTGACCATCATCTTACATTTCTACCTCATATCAAACATCTTAAGTCAAAATGCCTGAAGGCATTAGGTCTCTTGAAAGTTGTCTCCATTACTAAGTGGGGAGGTGATCAGTCGACCCTCCTTCACTTACAGGGTAACCTCACAAAACCCCTACAGCCCATAACCCCATATAACAACAAAGTGCATGGTCCAGTGCACTGCTAATCCCCTGCCTGTTACCTATTTTATACAATGGACCAGACCAAACACTTAGAAATTAAGAGAATGATTTTAATGCTTTGAAATTTAGAATCAAACTTAGATATTAAAGTGCATAAAAAGCAATTTGAAATCGCTTGTTAAAGTGATTCTCCCCTTCGTGTTTACTGAAAGAGCTTGTTTTGGAGACACTACCCACCCCCTTTCAGATGACGTAATCATAAGGACATTTGTTATTCTCATGTTTTCTCTTATTCATACATGATACCAAGGGTTCAAACTAAATACTGAATCGTCACAAGTGTCAGTTCTCAATATATTTTGTAAACAGTGCCAGCTTGAATATCTGGACTCAATGTTTTTGAAAGATTAAAATGGGGGTGTCCTTGAAAAACAGCCCCTGTCTAAATGTAAATCAAGCAATCCAAATCTTTGTATGTTGATTATTACGGGTAGTCATCCATTACTATAATGAACACATTTTATATGATATTATCAGAGGGCATACCATTATCCAAGAGGTACCAAATGACATCGTTTTTCATTTTCTGCAATTTCATAAAAAAAAGTATTATACAACAATGTGTTGTGATGACTAATATCTCGTTAACCACATTACCCCCATATGTGAAATTTTGGATGTGGCTATGCTAATGATTTCTTCAAAACAAAATGGAAGCTTTTCAAACATTGGACATCGAGAATATAGTTAGGCTGGCTACTTTTTGAACGCCCCTCGTATATACCCCAAATCATCTCAAATTATTTATCTCATTTTACTATCTCCCACACTAGTACAACTGATATTATTACGATTTGCATGGTGTCTACTCACCATGTACATCAGGAAGCTTAAAAAACTAGTTCACCATTTAATTCATCTCAATTATTTAAACTGAATAATTAAAACCCTACCAACAGCAGCACAATGTTATTCCCTTCTCATCTGTATACTCTATGCAGCTTAAGGTCACACTGCATACTCTACCCTGTATTCTCTCCTTTGGGTCAGTTTATATGATAGATAGATAGGGGTACTGGGCAGTAGGGGTTATGTAAAAGAAGGCATGAAAAGTGTTAAATGGTACGGTGCCCTTTTCACATGTCTGGTTAGCAGAGCTGTCCATGTAGAAACTGCTAATTGTTGAACACAGATTCTTTTCTCAACGCTCTCCGCAGATATATTGCTCCAAGAGGCCTAGTGAAAGAAATTGTATGTGACAATGGTACAAACTTCAAAAGTGGCGCAAAAGAATTGAGTCAGTTTTTGTTTGATATGGATCAATCAAAATTGTCATCATATTTGCTTCAGAAAGATATCACATTGAAGTTTAATCCCCCAGTTGCGAGTCACATGGGCGGTGTTTGAGAAAGAATGGTGAGATCTCAACGAACATTCTGAATCCTATGCTGCATGAGTTTGGTGACAGACTGGACGATGAAATGTACAGAACTTTCCCATGTGAAGTGGAAGCTATTTTGAACTCTCGACCTTTGACCCCTGTGTCAAATGACCCTGATGACCTTGATCCACTCACACCAAATCACTTACTCATGTTGAAGTCTAACGTCTTCATTCCTCCTCCTGGAGATTTCAAGCAAGATGATATGTATGGATATAAACGCCGAAGACGAATTCAGCATCTTGCCAATATACTCTGGTCACGCTGGAGAAAGGAGTATCTACAACAGCGACAGAAGTGGAATCATCCTAAACGTAACTATCATCTGGATGACATTGCAGTGTTGAAAGATGAGTTTCTTCCGAGAGGTGCGTGGTCTATGGGTCGCATCACCGGAACTGAACCTGACAAAAGTGGAATTGTCCGGAGTGTAACAGTGAAGACCAAGGACTCTGAGCTTCGTAGACCAATTCATAAGCTTGTTCTACTTCTTCCATCAAACGAAGTCATTTTGAATTTAAGATTTTTTTGTTAGACACACCGGGTGTGTTTAAGAGGCCGAGTGTGTAAATGCAAGATTGCATGTTTCATTATTCCATCAAATTCAATGTGCTAACTTAAGTTTACAAAAAAGTCACACTTAAATCACTTACTCATTGGTCTAATGGTTAAGGCTGTGGAATTGTAATTGAAAGGTTGCAGGTTCAAACCCCACTTACACCAACTAAACGTTTGTTATTGATTTAACTAATGTACATAACGTATTTGAATTAGCCTCATTTCTAGCACTTGTTTATCACATGACCTCTCTAAAGAAGCACGTGGTCTTAAAAAGCATGCACATCAGTCTATATCTGACCACCATGCTGGAGAGTTGCTTCACCTCACTGTCTGCGAATCACTGCACGTTAAGAAACAAATGTAAGTTACTTTTAACTCATATCATCTCTAACTTTATTCCTTCATTATCATTTGTATTAATAATGAATTATTAGTAAACAATTTTGATAATGGTTTATTTGAAGCCCATTTCTGGTGTCCCCCGCCGTGATATTACTGGAATATGGGGATCAACCTTCAGATGTTGGCGATCTAAAGCCCATTTTTATTGTGTTGTTCTGTAGAAATATTGTTTTATGAGTACATGCTATTTTTAAGTTTACATCTGTGATAATCTACATATTTTACTGTCCTTCGTTAATAGATATATATATTGCCTGGGTTTATTTTTGATATACAACACTCATAGTCACGATATGGCTGACATACTGCCGATGTGATGTAAATTTTAACTCACTCGCTCACTCCTTGGTGCCATTCATGTTTCACGGTATAACGTTGCACCTGTGTTCACTAAATATTGTGTTCGTCAAAATGAAAATTCATAATACAGCCTTCATGAGCGTATACACTGAACTATTACATCGTTTATTTTCTTTGTTTTGTATTTAAATATCCGAAATCTAATACACGCTCATACTGACACGATATATTTATACTGAAGAGAACGGAAACGAAACCTCGGAGGTCATTGTATCATTTGATTTTCGATAGAAATAGAAGCGACAACACCCTTTCCACATCCATAAGAAATATCTTCTAAAAGCAGAGTCGATTGTACAATTGTGACTATTTCATGAGTATATATTTGTTTCAGCAGTATTACAGTTGTATGATCTTGTTTGTAAACACATTGAGTCTGGACCAGACAATCCAGTGATTGTCACCATTCGATACGATGACATAGCATGCGTTTTTGAATCAGTGTGAAATAGTGATGATACATTGAGAAAAGGAAATATGACTGGCATAAATACTTGTTAGTCAGTATTTTGGTCACACATAAGCATTATGATGGCAGAGAAAGGTGAAATTTTAGATGGAAGGAAAGTAGGTGGGGATTTGATTCTGGATGGTTACAGATATACACGCAGGAAGGAAAACAAGAATGTTCAGTTCCCTGGAGGTGTCTCCATACCAGTTGTCTGGCCACAGTGACCACAACCAAATACGGCACCGTTGTGAGACGCGGGAAGCCCCACACATGCTACAGATCTAGGTGATATTGCTGCGGGACGTTTGACCAGCAACATGCAGAAACGTGTTTGGGAAGAACTCACCGCTATTCCTAAGATCTACGAGGAGAAGAGGAAGAAACTGCTGGATGGCCACGGAGTTATTCTCCCTACTACTGGGACAAGAAGATGGGAACGTACCAGCGATTCAGTTAACCCATTTAATTAGCCTACTCAAGTCCAATTATCAATTTATTACATATTGTAGGAAAATGGGTTTTTCTTTTAACTGTCAATTAAGCGGTGGGAACAACATACTGCCAGAAATGAGACTTACGGAAGTCGCACTGCCAGATATGGGACAACGCGCTAGACCAATTAAAAGGTGTGATAACCTCACTGCACAAATGGGACTGCCAGAAATGGGACTAAATCATACCAGGTGTTCGCGAAAAGGTGAGCGTATCCTTCCCCACCGGTGGCACCTGTCATAAACATATGCTAACTCTAGTAATTTGCTCACCTGAAATAATTCGGCAACGTGTGGTATATAAGTCAAAATAGGGAATGTCATTGGACATCATTTTGTTACTGATGCATCAAATTTGGAAATGTCCTCCACATGTCTACCATAAAACTTTTTGACTGTACCTCAAAAGTTGTGAAATGTAAATACCAAAGACTAGAGCTGTTGGAATGTTGCTCGACATGAAAGGGAAGTTGGCTATTGGAAAGTTTAAATCATCCTTTGTACGGCCTTGTACAGAGGTTTTTGTCCCTCTGAATCTTTATGCATAGATCTAAATATGAAACGGTTGAATATATCTTAAGACAGCGTTATTTCGAGTTCAACAACAACATGAAACCACAAACTCGGTATACTTTCTCTTGCCCACAGCTTATTCAGCTAGCCTATTCAGACATGTCTTTCTCAATGGTCGCAGTAACCAGGTGTTTCCGTGTGCGTACTTGCTGCTTCTACTACACCTCGGGCTGTCGCATACAATTGCAGAACATCTTAGAGTTGATGGGCTATTCACAAATGCAGTCGAAAAGACACTATTGTCATTAGGCATGGTAATTCAATCATCATGACGCAACCTTTTCAAACGCAGATGATATTCCCAGATGATTTTTATTCTTCACTCAGTTCATGTCCGAGCCTTTCCACCAGCTGTATTTGTCTTGATAAAGGAGAGCACATCATGCAGTACGTACTCCTATAATTAGCTGAAAGGGAGTACTGGGGCAGGCTCTGTCTTTGTTGGAGTCAGCATCGCTATGTCTCAAAATGGATATTAGTATGTTTGACTGTTGTACCTAGGTTCCACTACCATACTGCAGTATGATTTGTCTTTAGGTGTCAGTGAGTTACTGAATCTACCCTTTAATGTTTAATAAATTTAGATCAGGGATAACAACCAGAAATTAAACCTATGTGATGTTTGCTGGTCATTATTTAAGCTAACACCACACGACTGTAACAATTTCTTTGCTCTGGCCTTGTCAGGCAATATGAATTGATAATCCCCTATGCCTTGCACAACTTGCAGAAAAGTTCTTGATGTCCACTTACATGACCACTGAATTGATAATCCCCTATGCCTTGCACAACTTGCAGAAAAGTTCTCGATGTCCACTTACATGACCACTGTTATGACGGCGTAATCCACTCGTTCTGTATGCTGAATTTTGAGATATTATTTTGCTAATGTTGGGTGAATAATAAATAAAATACTCGCTTTCGCTCATTAGATATCATTCACTCGTTTCATAAATATGGTATTACACGGGACATCGTTTAGCTATTTCTCTATATAAAATGAGTGTATTATATTTGGAAGAAAATGTGCCCGAAACGCAATGCGTGCGTCTACATCGTCACAACATCCTTAATATATTTCATGATTATACTGGAGCTATGGGGTAGTTTAATCGTTAAAGCTTTAGGTCGTCACGCCGAAAACACGGGTTCGATTCCATATTTCAGGGCTGGTGAGGCTTGCAATCACATTGCAGCACTGTGCCACTGTTTAGTTGATGTGACAACAATGAGGAAAGCCGGTACTACATCATGCACATCCCAACCATGCAAGTGGAATAACCCACGCAAGAGGAAACTTAGTCCAAAAAGATCACAAGATGTTAATTTTAGAAAGTCATCTTCTGTTCTACATGAAAGGAAAGCAGTGATAGAAAATTGTTCAAATTCAGAGAAGTGTGATAAGATTGGTAATGAAAAAGCAGCTTACATTAAACCCATTGTCAACTGTCAGAGATTTAAACAGAAACTTGAAAGTAAGAATTCCAATGCTGCCTGGTTAAAGTTTTATGCAGACGCTTCTACGCCATCAAACATGAAACCCTCTCTGCCTCCCCTTCATAACATTTCCTTTTCATATTGTGACCATGTAGATCTTCATTCCACTGATTGTCAGCAAAAAATGCAGGTATTATTTGATTGTATGCATGTGTCAGAGGAAGATGCCCATTGTATCGAGACATTAACAGGTCAGCATAAAAACGACTTATGGTTAGCTGCCAGAAGTGAAAGACTTACTTCTTCTAAATTTGGAGATGTTGTGTTGATGCGCAGTGACACAAAGCCAGATAATCTTCTTAAAGATATTTGTGGCTACAGACACATTTCTGATGTTACTTTTTGTAAATGGGGAACCAGTCATGAACCTGCAGCACGCAAGGTCTATCAAACAGCAAACAAGAACTGTGTCTGTGTGGAACAATGTGGTCTTATTGTTAATCCAAAGTATCCACACCTTGGTGCTAGCCCTGATGGTTTGATACAGACTGATGATGGACATACTGGTGGTGTTCTTGAGATAAAGTGTCCTGCACGCTGTGACTGGAAATGGATGGAGCCCAAGGAGTGTGCCAAGGATCCTAGATTCTACTGTTCCCTAGATGAGAATGACCGTGTTCGTCTTAAAGAACCACTAAACTTTGTTTTTTGTTACTCTTTTAACCATTACATATGAAAGATTTGTGGTTAGTCTTATGCGGAACACCAAATTTATTCTTTAAAAACTTGTGGTTAATTAATACCGAGCGATTAAAAGTGGCCAAAAAGTCGCCTGCTTCCCTCTCGCCCGCCAACGAAACCACAGACAGGTTACGTAACTCTGTCGCCAGAGCACTGCAGTGACGTCATATGAGGAACGATTTTTAGTTAGTTGTATAGAAAATGTGTAGCACGCTCATCATTTTGATGATTTCTCGACATCAACGACGACATGCCGTATCGTTGCTTTGTCGTCAATTGCTCCTAGGGGTCGGGCGATAGTGTCCCCATGCACAGATTTCCACAGGACCCCGCAGTTCGTGCTAAATGGGTTATGTTTGTGAGTGCGAAGCGAGCGTTGTGGAAGCCTGAAACGATATCTTACTTGTGTTCAGATCGCTTCACGGAAGTTAAAGAATCAAAACTACTTACTAGTTGTAGTAAAATATGCATATGATTGATGACCATAAAGATTTTCTATGACACAACTTGTAACATAACGATTTCTTCCACGGAAGCGAGGTGGGGGTCGAAGTCACAATACTGTGCGATAAATTTCTTGCTACATTCCCATGGTTAATGTCCACTCACCAGTATGTAGATACTAGTCAATGTGCGTCTTTATATTTGGTCTTATAATCCTAATTAGTTTATTATCACACTAGTATGCATTTTGAAACTAAATAAAAAGCAGACGATCTGCTGATACTTATAGTGAATTTATAACAGAACTGTAATATCTAGACATTTTATAGTTTGCCAATGTGAATCATAATTCGCACACACACCCTAGTGCATGTTGTCTGTCTCATTACACTTCACGGCGAAAACAATGATTCTGTTGAATGCTACGACAAATGAATAAAAACAAAATGCAAGTATTAAAATTAAAACAGATTAAAGTTATAGGAACAATATCAGGCCATTACCTTGTTCGAGGAATGTATCCATCAATATCCACAAAACTGTTCCAAATGATGTGTCTTTTAACAGTTTAATATACGAAAAAGTGATAAATCTTTTCAGGTATTGGTGTATAGTCTCATTGGTCACCCAAGATAGCACACCTGGCAACTAATTGCATAATGTCCGCCTTTCTTTAAAACAGTAATTTAGTTAGCCAATAATGGGCAATCAATCAATGTTTTGCCGGTTAATCCTTTGAAAGAAGGACGTTGTTTTTACGCAGACACCGACACGACAGAGTGTATTCAGTATAGATTAGTAAATCTACATACATAAACGCTACCTTTTGACAATTCCGCTGTGTAAGATAAAAGTAATTAATCAATCAGCGTGTTATCGGTTAATCCTTTGATCGATGTTTATAATGTTGAATATTTACTCCAGACACAAGAAATGCCAAATGGGAACCTTTGTCGGGTAATCTAAGTGTGTTACCACTAATTATACCTGTTATAAATTCATTAATTGCTGAATTGCATGTGAAAACTTATGGGCCGACACTGTTTTGAGAATACAAACAGATTTTTACATGACATGATTAAATATCGAGGTAAAACAACACAGAAATGGGATCAATTTGGATCAGTCATTATACAAATAGGGCCTGACGACACCAATCGATTTTGACAGAATCGTCTATGAAAACAAGTTGTAACTCGGAAACTAGGCAAAGCAGGAGACCAAATTAAATGACAGTAGATTGTGAGAACATATAGCTTTCATTTTCCACAACAATTGTCACGATTTCAGGTTTATACAAGCCTGTAATCACGATAATTTACCCCCTAAAATGTAGATGAATGCTGCATCGGCTCTCAAAGCTATTCCTCATATGACGTCACAGAGGCGCGCCGCTCTGATTGGTTGAAATTTCGTTCGCGGGTGAGAATTGTGCACTGTTGTCAAAAAGGTCGATTTAAGTCAATTAAAGGTCGAAATGAGTAGTTTTAATGACGGGGTTTCATTTATAACGATGCCAGTTAGTGATTTATGTATTTGTACCCCCTAGGGTTTATGTGACCTTTAAAAGGTCTCATAGATATTATTACCAAATTCAGGGTCAAATGGCTATTACTGAAAGACTGTGGTGTGATTTCATGATTTGGACTTTGAATGGGTGGACTGTTGACAGAATCAGATTTGATGAAAAAGTCTGGAATGACATGCTGCCCCAGTTGAACAAATTTTACCTGACTAATGTAATTCCAGAATTATTCTCAAGAAGAGTGAAAAGGGGTATTCCACTGTATAATTAAATAAGATTTCAAGTGTTCCTATAAATGTATCAGTGATTGCCTGTGCTGACCAGTTCACATTCATTGTTGAAACAGTATGGCAATGTTTAATGAAAAAGAGTTCATGCTTGCTTGAAAAGTGTTTGAATACACAAGGTGAAAATGACAAGTGCATATTTCTAGAATGTTTGCCTAAAGTTCTCAAAAGAGTGTTTGAATTCAATGTAGCATGTGCAGAATACCAATCCACTGAGTAGGTTCAAGTGCTTGAATATAACCAAATATAAATATTTTTTCCTATTGTACATTTACAGTTAAAGCAAGTACCATGAAATCACTTACACTATGAGACAAGAAACAGACTTGTCTGTAACTAAATTGCTTCATCCCTTGTATTTAAGTGCTTAATTCTGCATGCTAAATGTTCTTAAAATCTTTTGCCATCTTATTTGATGGCTTATAATAATTATCAGCTTTGAAGATCAATTAGTAGTGTTTTTAAATATGTATATATAACAAAAACACAAACAGATCACTAAAATTATTTTATTGGTAAACTGATAACTGTGTGCAGATCAATACTGACTCACTTTCAACAACATGGATAGCTGTTTAACAGCTAGAGAGATAATATACATTACAGTTTAAAATTATATGTGGTTATTACTTATGGAACTTCCTGAACCATTCAGTGCTACAGTGTCAAGTGAAATCTTTCTTGTAGTATTGAGGCCTCTGTACCAGTATATATGTTGTAAAGACAAACGTTAATAATATGAAACATCACAATTTGGTATTTGCATATGGATACCTAGAGCATCACTAAAACCTGACACAACTGAAAACGCACTACAAAGTAGTTTTGCTAAATTATCTCCCTTTAAGGTTAACTGTTCAGTTCACATCCTTTCATAACTGGTGCATTGTATAATAAAAATAAAGAAAGGCACATTTTCAAGCACACTATTATTTCAGTATTTAACACATTTGTCAGTATTACATTTGTTGAATGACATGCTCTACCAATAAAGCTACAAATTTGTCAGCTTTATAGTAATGTTCTAATGGCATTCACATACTACATATAAAGCAAAAAAATAGGTTTCTTGTAAAAAATGTAAATGTTCTTATTGACAATATATACCTGTGTGTCATTGTACATATGATGGACAATGCGAATGTTGCGTAAAACATCTTACCTGACACTGCATTCAGACAATGTGTCAAGACAGGAATTAACATATTTGTGAATGTAAATAAATATAGAATCTTCGTATTTGTTTTGTCAATTATTAGCAACAGTGATCATCTACTGATCAATAATGATCACTGAGCAGTGATGCTCTATTATCTATACCTATCTATAAGTTCTGTTAGACACCTACTCACAACCAACACCTGACCTAACAAGTTAGTTAATAGTAGTAGTTAATCCAGTTGCAGTGGAGTGAGTACAGCTAACAGAACAGGGCTTGAGGTAATAATTAGTAGCTTGTAATAACAGGGGGTTACCTGACCTTTATCAAAATATTCCTAAGCGTTTCAAAGAGACCAAAGTGAAAAATGTCTGAAAAATATGTTGCAGGCCTAATGAAGGTCTAAAAAAAGGCTGACTATGTCAAAGAAACTAAAATAATTCACCAAGTCATTATGTTTAAGTTTTTTTAAGTCTTCTAACATTTCAAGAAATAATCTTCAAATCATTGAAGTTACATGTACTCCGAACCCCGAACAAATTCATTCAAATTTATATCATTTAAGAACAAGAGGTGGTTGCAAATTTGTCAAACAAACACATATATGCCATATTTTTGTTACCTGGGAAGCCATTGTGATGGGAATAGTACCTTGTAAGATGCGAAAGTTTTTAATTCGTTCCATTTGCCGCTCAACATGAATCCTCAAACTGGCAATTTTCTTGGTTACATTCACCTCATGTTGAGTCATTTGTTGCTTTTTAGTTTTAAATGGGGGAATGATGAGATCAATACCTCTAGGTGTAGTAAAATCAGAGATGAGAAAACCTTTGTCTGCCATGATAGCATCACCTTCCTCACACAATTCAACTAGGCCACTAAGTTTGGTGATCTGTTTGTCACTGATACTACCACAATACAAATCTGAAGAAAATGTTACAACACAAGCTGGACTTATCCCAATCAAAGCCTTGTAGGTCATATGTGACTTATAGTCACTGTATAAAAGTGACTGTAGCTGAAGTGAACTAGGTGTCTCTGTCCATATCTCTGTGCAATCTACGACAACTCTAGTGGTTGGGTAATTTGTACTAAATGAATCTGGCATTGTTGCATTAACATTCTCCCTACTTGGCCATTGCACCAAAAACGAGAGTTGAACATACAAATAGTCAAACCACTTGTTGCAGAGTCTGCCGCATGTTGCACGTGAAATTCTAAATCTGTATGCCAAATCATCTAGTAACAGTCCTAATCTCAATCTCATTAGAATCATGAAAAATTCATCTATCTGCCTCAAAGCATGTGGTCTCCCACCATCAGATGTGTCAGAGTAAACCTGCTCATCATCATACAAAGCCTCAAATGTTGATGAATCTGGAACTCCAGTGTAGAACATAACACTTTCATCAGAGCACCTGATATCCTCATAGGTCAATGTTGGTTTGTCAACTTGAATACCAACACTGTGCATCAATGAATCATATGTTTGAGTGTTTGCATTGCAATAGATAATTTCATTGTCAAATGTCTGAGTTCCAGCTGATGTAACAGGTTCCGAAAATGTTTGGGTACATTTATTCACAGAGAGACTGGTCAACATTTGGGAACCACAGTAGTCATGGTGACTAAGGGAACGTTCAAGTCTTGATAAAAGTCCTGCAGGTGAATCTGATTTCTCTGCTGACACATCACACATACTTGTATCCTCCATATGCAAAGCAATCTCATTAACATCATCAATATCCATGTTCTCACCAAGACCATGATCCAAATCGGTCTCACATGTAGTTCCATGGACAAGATGGGACACATTCTGTAAAAGAAGATAAAATGATCACCAATCAACTGTCATTTTTTTGGAAATGTATGCAGTAATCAGGGGAAAATGTCAACTAATTTTCCAGAATTTTGAAAATAATAATGACATGAAGGAATTAAAACCGTTTTTTTTTGCAATGCTAATGTTTGGATGGATTCATTGAAAGGTATAAGGTTACCATACTTACCAATATTGTTCTAATAACATGCACGTAATTATTTCATATTTCATTTGGATTTCACATAATAAAGTCAAATTTATCTCAATTCTTGATCTGTATGTGTACTAGTCTACATGATACGATACGACTAACCTCCTAAGCCTTGCTTTATCACTTTGGTGGATAATACGAAATACCATCTGCTTTTAAGCTAAAATTTTTTCACAAACAATCTTACCGAAAGTTTGAATGTCTTCTTTGGGAAAACAGTTGGCAAAGGATGAAGCTTACTCGGTCCCTCCCCGCCGTAAAAGTGTTCAGAGCATAATCTGGTGCTGTCATTTCTATTTGAAGTTGGAACGGAAAAGCTTGCATCTTTGAATCCAAACCCTTCTCAGTCGTATATCTGCAGGGAATCTGTGCATAGTGATCTTCCGGCCATTCGCAAATTTCTTACAATGATTACTACAAATACAACAGTATCGCTGTTTGGACGGCATTCTTGACATTTGCCGCACCGACGCGACACTTCCCGGAAGTAGATACGCGTTGACCAGCACATGCGCATTATGTTTTTAATAGCGGTCGCCAAGGACAGATAACTCACGTTTTGTATTTGAAAGCTCAATGAATCAACCTTTGTGGTCTACATGTCATTCTTCTGATCCAACTTGTCTTCATCAAGCGTTATAGCATAAAACAGTGATGCAAGAAAGCTGTCAGCCTGGATCGTGACCTTCAACTGATGTATTGCTGACCTGATCACTTCCTTGCCGTAAGCACTTCTGTCTAACGTGAGGCGGATGTGCCCGACAGCTCACAGCACTGTACACATGCGTAGCAATTTGAGTGGCGTGTACACTAAAGTCTGCTGTCGTGGGAGATATACGACTAACTTGGAGGAAGTTTTGTCACAGCACGTGTAAACAGTGAGTATTCGAAACAGATATTCATGATCTACTTTAAGTATCAATACTATCAACAACTGTTTTGAATGGCAGTACGGAACCTAAAGTTATTATTATTATATTACAGGATATGTATATAGCGCACATATCCACGCACTAGTGCATGCTCAAGGCAATGGTATTTTTTCCCTCGATCATTGGATGTCAATATCAACTGCACATCGTATTAGCAATCTCAACTCACTTGGGAGTATACAACTCTTTCTGCCACTAGGCGCACCAAGTTATTGTGGCTTTCTCATCCTAACGAGGTTACCATGCTACATTTCAAAGAATGAGAATTCACGCAACAACTTCGATGTGCTCTCCTTTGTCGGGGATGTATTTTCAAATACCTTTTGAAATGGTTTGTATTATGTGCTGTGAGTGACTTAATTTTTTAAAGTCACATCGGCAGAATCTCAGCAATAAAGTGACACCAAACGTTATACAGGATTAATAAGCACATTTCGATAGTCTAAAGCCCGGACATCCCAGGTAGGTATAACCGATACTTGGTTTGATGTCATGTAGTTTATTGATAGCTGCTTTGGTGTCCCACTTCTTCTGCACTAGATCACTGATATATAACCAACGTAAGGCATATAATCAATGTAAGGGATGAGACGTGGTGTCACAGATGTTACTTGGCAGCTGCATTAGACTTTATGTTACCAATTATATTGTATTCCGTCATGGAAACCCACCAAACGATATTTTTGTGTCCAGGAGCAAGAGCATTGCGTTTAAAAGTCGATGTTTGAACGATTTTTTTGATTACCTAAAAACAAGAATGAGAGTCTGAAAACATAACATAATTTTTGTGTTTATTTTTTATATTCTAGTGCTGCAAGTACTGCCTTTGGTTGGACCGCAAAAGAAAAAGAACAATTATCCAGTAATCTTGTATTACACAGATTCATTGTATATCGTTATAGTAAAGGTATAAAAACTTTGTTACAGATGTGAACGCCAGCAATAATTCTTCTTAGCCAAGAGGACACATTTGCCATATATGGCGTAAAGTGGACGCTCGACTCTACAGCCTTTGATGAGCAAGGACAATGCTTTGCAACGGTGCCTTACAGGGGGATTGTACGTGCGACGTTATATGTATGTACTCGAGATTACAGGGGGATTGTACGTGCGACGTTATATGTATGTACTCGAGATTTCTATGAGATAGCTGTTGTTAAGAAGAGTTGGCTGTACTCGAAAAAATAAATATGGTATTGCCAGTCCAGAAGAAATACGTATTAGTTGCCGTGACAGTTCCTATATTCGTTGCATGTGTACTTCTGTACAATACAGATCATTTCACTCTTGTCCCGTTGCTGACTAATTCTGGGGACATCCTGGTCGGACCGTGTCCGAGCGTTCTGGACAATATGATGATAGGAGCATGGAGCACGCGCACCCTAACTCCGACAGAGCAGAAGGAAATCGACGCCTTCCTCATGAATGGGTTGTTCTTTATTGACCCACGGCATGGTGTTCAGAAACCTGATGGTACTTGCGGAAACGTCACATACTATCCTTGGATGTCTAAGGAACCAAACTCAAGATGGTTCCGAGTACTCTGTGATCCCAAGGGCCCATCGCCTTGTTGTTATAAGAACATGTGTCAAGCCAAGACAACTGTGGAGTGTAGATGTGACGAATGTTTTGACCTGAGACAACAGATACATGCTGAATATTCCCTCTGGCGACCGCTGGATCCCAGGTAACTATTCACTTCTTAATTAATGACTACGTTTATGTCATATAGCTTGACACACAGTAACAAACAAAAGTTACCTTTGTAAATTTTAATTGTATTTCTGCATTCAACCCCCATGTCCAAACTGGAAAATCAGAAACAAGAAACGAGAAATATTCCAAGTCCAGTTCCAGACTTGTACCAACTATTACCTTTCCCTATGCGTGTTTGCGTGAACACTTCGTCATCAGCAATTGATAGTGATTCATATGAACATCTTATATGTGTATTCAGAATTGTACATTCGACTGTGCTTTTGGCAGAAATGTATTTTGAATAACGAAATAGTTTGCATATGTGCTCTTTCTCCTACACGACATTTAACTTATATATTCCAGGTGTAACATTAAAACTTTCACGTCCATGTCAGCGTGTGAATTACTGCAAGGTGGTACTGTACATTTGTACGGCGACTCTTTGGTGAGACAATTGTTCTTGGCACTTGTCATTATACTGAAGAATGACTTTGAGACAGGAGGACTCCTACCTAACGCTCCACAAGGTAAGGTCTACACTGTCTATTAGTGACCAGTAAATGTTGGTAGACGTCTTCCGATAGAGTTAACTATTTGCATCCCACAGTTTTCGTTCGTGTGAATAATGAATTTATGATATTTAAATGTCACAGTTCCTCCATACATCGTATCTGAAGTATGGGCTTATTTGGATCATTCACATGGCTGGCATAAAACTTTCAGTCAATACAATTAGCATTCACATGACTGACATTAAGCATGAATACATTTAACACTTACGTGACTGGTACAAAGGTTAAACGTCATAATATTCAACATTCATCTGTGATTGGATGGTTGGGAATGGTCAATCGGTTTATGTTCGTTCTCAATAACTGTGTATGGGTCGAGTGTTGGTATTTCTAATTTCCCGGGGTTGATGAACGTTTGAGGTATCCACATGTAGTTCCAGTACGTCCTCGCAGGGACCATCGTTCATTGTTGGTTTTCTAAAATCTTTTACCAATGTAATAGTTTCGACGAATCCTCGAGGATGGCATGATACTTATCTATACAATTGCAACTTAACATGAAGCAGGATCCTGCGTTCGTCTGAACAGTGGATCCGTCTCCTGGTCCGAGGATTCCAGCGCCGTCGAGCAAAACACCACTGCATAAGTTGCCTTTGATGTTCATGAATCCGAGTTGGACGTGTGATGATCCTTCTGGACCTGAAGCCAAGAATCAGTAACGGTTACGCGCGGTCATGGTTGACAAGCGTCTGTTGAGCACCCCGAGTTACTTCAAACGAGTGCTCGTGGCGATGGCATAGTACGGAGATGTTGCAAGATTTGGGAACGTTACGCACAGTGTTATGTTCCGGAGGTTGACCGATTTGAAGGGGGAAGCGTAATGCTTTGGTTCATATTTTGTGCCAATGAGTGCGTCAGCAGATGAATCACTTGGGTAAGCACTCGTAAACTATTCAGTGTGCGAAATAGACACTGGTCCGCTTGCCCTAGGATAGTAAAAATCCATTTGGGCCAGTAAATCACCACAGTGAATTTTCATGGGGTCATTTTGTAAATATATCTCTCTCTCCGACTTGTTAAGTTATGATACACTTTTAAATCACGCAAGGTTAAAATAAAAAATGTTCATCATATTAGCACTTTAATGATGAAAGCCATGCCATGCCTACAATATATTATGTTCATCTATTTTTGTAATCATTTGCTTAGTTTCTACACTCAAATTTGGGGTTAGTGAATTATTTTGTGGGCTAGTAACCTTAAGGCAGACCTAGACCGACTGGCTAGCACATTTTGGAAACGATTTCGCACGCTGAAACCATTTCCGGTTAGAGTGTTCCGACAGATTCTCCTGTCCATGAGGAGACGTTGTGTTGCCGTCATGGCCGCTCTAGGAGGTCATACTTGTTACTAACTTTTCAAACGTTTCTTCAGTGTGAAGTTCGCCTTTTTATCAGTATAACACACAGACACCTATTTCTATAAATGACAACTTCCATTTTTAGTAGTAAACAGCTGAACACATAACCAAATACAAGCACTTCTTACAATTTGTTGTCAACACCGCTACAGGGCCATTATGAACACATCAGGGTGTACACGGCATGACAATGGCGCTACAGGAGCTGATTCTGAGACTTAATTCACTGGTAAAGTGTTGTGTGTTATATCATTTCCGACTCTGTTGCAGCTGTGAAGGACTCCTGTCGCGGGATGTATGTGTTCCCCACCAAGAACTGCCGGGAGTACCTTGACTACAACCCCTATGTGTGCGGGGGGTCGGTACAGCTCAAGTTCCACCATGCTGCCCATAGTCCGGACATCCAGTCCATGCTGAAGGTTGCCTCGCCCCTTGCAGGAGTGAACCGATCAATCATACTATTCGGCTGTGGGGTCTGGCAACACTTCGATATACAGGAGACCACCAAATTTGCCTTGACTTTGACAAACATGTTTCGACTGTTATCGTCCAAATCAGAATGGCCTAAGCTGGTGTGGGCGGGATTTCATTACCTTGGCCTGTGGCGTCATGCACTTGTTCCAACGGTTAACAATGCGTATGTTGCGTACTTTAACCAGTACATGAAGCAGATTCTAGCCCCTCTGAAGGTATCCATGTTTGATACGGTCAACATCACGAAAGGCGTGCGTAGCGTGGACGGAACACACTATGGACCGGGGATAAATTTCCTGAAGGCTCAGATATACCTCAATTATATTGAGGAGCTTCAACGCAAGGGTGACTGGTGAAGATACGCCCAAGTTCGCAAAGAAAGAATTGTGTATAACATGTACACACATAAATAAAGACTGATTAACAACTGATGGCTTGCATTGTAACTGTATGGGTCGATGGACAAACTCCATTGGTGGTCGTGTACAGTAAAATATATTTATTTCCTGTACATCGAAACGAACATAAACAACCAGTTTAAATTTGATGAAAGATAAAATGCTGAGAATATTGTCCGAAATTTGTACTTTCACATTTGGAAAGTGTGTCAAGTAACTTACTGATTATTAAATGATTCCGAATCGTTAGTAACGATAGTTAGCCCTTACTATGGTTAGTACCAGCAAACGTTTACTGTTGACATACAACCTGTCATTAACAGTTTTATTGTTTTTAGAATTGAATTATTATTTTTTATTATTGAATTAGCCATAAGATCGACATCCCCGATGCCCTCCTGTGCGTACTCTGGCGCTGACAAGAAGGATGTGGGTGGAGGTTGTCTACCTGCCTAGATGGACCCACGCCATCATGTATACTACTCACACTTTGCTAAGGATCACAATAATTCACAACTTTACTTAAACGTAACTTTACTTAAATTGTATCCATTTAAAACTGGATAAATAATAATGTGGCAACACCTCTTTAGGCAAACAGCCCCTGGTTTTCATGGCACCAATCAACCATTTTGCACCTGTCAGTAGCACATATAGTTTCAACAAGATGAAATGACATACTGAAACCTAGGATCCATGCTTACAATAAGCTTTGATATTTAAACCAAATTTGATCCCACATTCTGTTGAATCCGTGATTTGATCCTTAGCAAAGTGTGAATAGTATAGTACACACTTACCTGGCGTATTAAAGGATGTGGGTTGAGGTTGTCTACCTGCCTAGATGGAACTACGTCACCCTGTAGTACACACTTACCTGGCCTATTAAAGGATGTGGGTGGAGGCTGTCTACCTGCCTAGATGGAACCACGTCACCCTGGAGTACACACTTACCTGGCCTATTAAAGGATGTGGGTGGAGGCTGTCTACCTGCCTAGATGGAACCACGTCACCCTGGAGTACACACTTACCTGGCCTATTAAAGGATGTGGGTGGAGGTTGTCTACCTGCCTAGATGGAACTACGTCAACCTGTAGTACACACTGACCTGGCCTATTAAAGGATGTTGGCGGAGGTTGTCTACCTGCCTAGATGGAACCACGTCAACCTGTAGTACACACTTACCTGGCCTATTAAAGGATGTGGGTGGAGGCTGTCTACCTGCCTAGATGGAACCACGTCACCCTGTAGTACACATTTACCTGGCCTATTAAAGGATGTGGGTGGAGGTTGTCTACCTGCCTAGATGGAACCACGTCACCCTGGAGTACACACTGACCTGGCCTATTAAAGGATGTGGGTGGAGGTTGTCTACCTGCCTAGATGGAACTACGTCAACCTGTAGTACACACTGACCTGGCCTATTAAAGGATGTTGGCGGAGGTTGTCTACCTGCCTAGATGGAACCACGTCAACCTGTAGTACACACTTACCTGGCCTATTAAAGGATGTGGGTGGAGGCTGTCTACCTGCCTAGATGGAACCACGTCACCCTGTAGTACACATTTACCTGGCCTATTAAAGGATGTGGGTGGAGGTTGTCTACCTGCCTAGATGGAACCACGTCACCCTGGAGTACACACTGACCTGGCCTATTAAAGGATGTGGGTGGAGGTTGTCTACCTGCCTAGATGGAACCACGTCAACCTGTAGTACACACTGACCTGGCCTATTAAAGGATGTTGGCGGAGGTTGTCTACCTGCCTAGATGGAACCACGTCAACCTGTAGTACACACTTACCTGGCCTATTAAAGGATGTGGGTGGAGGCTGTCTACCTGCCTAGATGGAACCACGTCACCCTGTAGTACACATTTACCTGGCCTATTAAAGGATGTGGGTGGAGGTTGTCTACCTGCCTAGATGGAACCACGTCACCCTGGATAAGAAGAGTTTACATAATGATGAAAATTCATGCTAAATAATAGAGTTGAAAGTTGAATTGTTGAATTATTATTTAGCATGAATTTTCATCATTATGTAATTAAACTCACTTATACAGTACTCTCCCTAGTGTACTGTGATGTCACTTGCATTGTGACGTCATAACTCAGTTATGACGTCATAGTGACGACGTCATAGTACTAACTGCCAGTTCACCTGATGACGGGACCTGGAATGGTCTTGAAACGTCGTGAGAGAAATTAAAAAAGAAGTTTAATCCATAAAAATATCTTGGACATCAATGTACAACTTCTAAATGCCACTGAAAGACATTATACCTTTATTGTCTGATAATGTTTGTTTTTTTCGATTGTTCTAACCGCTAGGCATCTTAGAAGCACATTTATTACCTACGTGGTCAACGTATGGGTAGTTGCATACTAATCTCGTACGTCACACGTGTGTCGTATCGCGTTGACCTGTGTCGTAACGACTTGACCTGAGATTCTAACGATTTGATTGGATAACCGATGACCTCTCAATTAGGTCACATTCTGACGTAACTATTTTTTCATTCATAACAAACACGTGGATCCATTCATTCTACAACTAAATGCATTGTGGGAATGTAAACATCGCGAACGTTGCCGTGTCGCTGTTTTATTGTGAGTCGAACTGAGACATTATACCCGTCGAAAAACGTAAACGCAATGTTTCCACCAGTGATGTTAGCCGAATGAAGCTACTGCAAACCAAGAAACGGGGTGCTACGGAGTAGTTTACTGTAGGAGGCTGTACGAGGCGATGACAACTGACATGCATCGTGACGTCGGTTACCAAGGCAGTGACGTCATGACAGTGACGTCATGCAAATATTGTACTACAGTACAAAACTCTTCCGCAACCTCTTTATGAAACCGGTTTCGGTTTGAAACAAAAATATGAACAAAAATACGCTATTTTGTCAATTTAATGCATGTAAGACGTGGGAAATAAATAAAATACCACACTCGGTCTCATTACATACGAATTATACGAAACTCGTGACCTTCCTATGATATCTGACCGAGCTTTCGCTCGGTCAGATACCATAGGAAGGACACTCGTTTCGTATAATTCGTATGTAATGAGACCTCGTGTAGTATTCTCTATTTATCATTCCTGTTTCGGCCAAATTAATGGTATTCTGTCAAGATAGCGCCATTGAGGCTCACAACAACCTCCGTTCAATCAGTACATGCGATTATCTGTCATAGCTGGAATAGGTATGAAATACGGACGACAGACAGTCACAATAATTCTTTGGCTGTCTAATAAACTGATTGTGTTTATTCACTTTACTATGTTCTACTTGTTAAGTCTCTTAAGTTTAATTCATTGTATCTTAACAATGTGCTACCTGCAAGTCTATTTGATCATTGAAAATGTCATACTTGTGTGGATATCTTGGCTTTCACATTGGAGTGAGTGAGTATGGTTTTACGCCGCATTTAGCAATATTCCAGCAATATCAATGTGGGGAAAACCAGAAATGAGCTTCACACATTGTACCCATGTGGGGGATCGAACCCGGGTCTTCGACGTGACGAGCTAAAGTTTTAACCACTAGCCTACCCCACCGCCCCTTTCACATTGGACAGTGGACACGTTTTGTGCTGGGAGTGTAATGATGGCGGCCGCAATCTTATATACCCTTACAACAGATTCGATGCACGTCCAGGGCAATTTAAGGTCACAACGTTACACAGATGAAATTATTCGACTACACGTCCTTCCCATTATGCAACAAATGAACGTCAATACGACCACCCATCGAACATTTATGGGATGCTCTTTGATCAGCTGGCACAAGCACTGCAGGAAGGGTGGGCGAACAATCCCCTGGCCACAATTCGTAATCTGATTGGTTACATAAGGTATACATCTGAAAAACACACTTTCTTTCTTTGTAGAGTATAAATCACCATTGTGAAACCACCTTAAGTTTATGTTTGTTTGCTTTACATAACCGAGTCTGAACCAGACAAGGCAGTGATCAACAGTATGAGCATCGATCTACACAATTGAGATACAAGGACACGTGTCGCCTGACCACCCGATCCCGTTAGCCAGATCTTACAAGCATGGGTTGCTGAAGACCAATTCCAACCCGTCCCACCTCTCTCTTGTAGATGATCTACCTCCATTCCTAAAATGACTACAATGCTCAGAGACACATTGGAGCCTCACTGAAGTCCCTCGACACTTGTACTGAACAAAATAATGTTATGCAAACAACAAGAAAAGTGCATGCAGAAAATGTTTTCAACGCAATGCACGTGCACTGTGTCGGAAACATGAGTATAGACATCGACTATTAAAGGCCAAACCAAATTTATCATTTTATTACGAAATTTACGACGTAAACGAAGTTAAATTGCCAAGATTGAATGCTACTGACCGAAATATCGACATTGGACGTTTGGAAGGGATCCCTGAGTGCCGTTGCAATACACTTCAACGTCTACCACAGCACCATAACTCAATTATGGCATCGATATACATTGTATGTACCCGCTTTGATTCGACCCAAGATCGTCCCAGAAGTGGAATACCAAGAATGACCACTCCTGCTCAGGACCGATTCATTCGGGTGTTTCACCTACGTCACCGTTTTGCTACAGCAGTGGACACTGCAGGACAGGTGCATGGCCTTCGAGGAATTTCCAAGCAAGCCATCAGAAATCGCCTGAGAGAAGTGGGAATTCGACAACGACGTTTCTAATGGTGCAACAGAGTACAGGCATGGAACATGGGGAACAGGCGACAAGTTTGGTTCAGTGATGAATCGCGATTCCGCCTGCAACGACAGAATGGGAGACAACGTGTCCTTTTGCACCGAACTGCGTTCGACAGGTGGACAGATTTGATGGACGAGACGTCATGGTGTGTGGAGTCATGTCCTACACGGGCTGATCAGCGCTGGTTGTTCAAGGCAATCTTACAGCAAGTCGCTACATCGACCAGATCCTGCGACCTCACCTCCTCCTACGTTTTAACCGCCAGAGGGAGCTGTTTCAACACGACAACGCTCGACCCCTTACAGCTCATGTAGCATGTGCCTATTTTGCCAGTGCAAACGTCAATGTCCTTTCCATGGCCTTCCGAATAGCCATATCTGAACCCGATCGAGCATCTTTGGGACGAACTTGATCGACGCGTCCGTAAACGTCA